CGAGATCGGGCGAGCTGATACGAGCGCGCTGTCTCGGCCGGACGCAGGTACGACGCCTGTCTCGTATGCTCACGGGCGCGTGTCACAGCTTGTAGCGCGAGGAGTCGCCCATATCGGTCCAGAGGAGCATTAGAGGGGCCCAGAGGCGCCGATAGTGGTCGAGAGGAGGATTAGAGGTTTCGAGAGTAGGACTATAGTGGCCGAGAGTAGTCGATAGGGGCCGAGAGGGGCCGAGAGGGGCCGAGAGGGGCCGAGAGGGGCCGAGAGGGGCCGAGAGGGGCCGAGAGGGGCCGAGAGGGGCCGAGAGGCAGCCGAGAGGCAGCCGAGAGGCAGCCGAGAGGCAGCCGAGAGGCAGCCGAGAGGCAGCCGAGAGGCAGCCGAGAGGCAGCCGAGAGGCAGCCGAGAGGAGCCGAGAGGCAGCCGAGAGGCGGCCGAGAGGCAGCCGAGAGACAGCCGAGAGGACGCGAGAGGGGCCGAGAGGACGCGAGAGGGGCCGAGAGGGCCCGAGAGGGGCCGAGAGGGGCCGAGAGGAGCCGGGATCGCAGTCTGAGGAGCGCGGCGTTGGCCCCACCAGTGAGAGAGGTGGAGGTGGCAGGCAGATCGTGCGAGGCAGACTGTCAGGACTGTCAGACTGACAGAGGGTTCTGCTGGTGGGCAGGAGCGCGAGGCGACGCTGGTCGCCGTCTTCCGCACGCGCCGCGCCGCAGCCACCTGCGAGCAGCTGGGCGCGCTCTCTCACCCACGGACTTGCCGGTGCATGGAGCCTTCCGAGAGCCTTCCGAGAAACTTCTTTAGGCGCGCTCTTCACGACGGACTTGCCGGTGCATGGAACCTTCCGAGAGCCTTCCGGTCGCCTGTTTTAGGCGCGCTCTTCACGACGGACTTGCCGGTGCATGGAACCTTCCGAGAGCCTTCCGAGAAACTTCTTTAGGCGCGCTCTTCACGACGGACGTCCTCGTCCACTCCACCGCGGCGCCGCAGATGCGCGACGCGGTGTGGAGCAACCTGGCGCGCTCGTCCCGCCGTCCACGAATTAGCACGGATTAGCACTAATGAGCATGAATTCCCATCCATTAGGCGCGCTCGTCGCGCCGCAGACTGCTCTACTCTGTCCTCGCGGGCATCTGCTCGATTGCGCTGTTCTTGCTCCTAGAAGCGGAAAGACGTGTTCGTGTCTTCCAGCCCGCGGCATAGAAGCGGAATCTCTCCCCATATCTCCCCCCGTATCTCCCCGTATCTGGCAGCACGGAGCCTAGAAGCGGAAGGAGGACTCTTGTGCTCCAACCAGCGCTCGAGAGGAGATGCAACTGTCTTCCGGCGTACTCGGCGGCAATCGGCTGCACTCGCCTCCCTCGCGTTCACGCGGTGCTCTGAATACACAATACAGCACACAATACCCGCCCTGCTGTTGGGGTATCCCGCGCGCAGGTTCCTGCTGTGGAATGTCCTAACCCTAACCCTAACCCTAACCCTAACCCTAACTCTTCCTCGCGCAGGTTCCTGCTGTGGAATGTGCTAACCCTAACCCTAACCCTAACCCTAACTTTTCCTCGGGCAGGTTCCTCCTGTGGAAAGTCCCGGTCGGGCGGGTGCAAGGGGGGTACCCGCCACCACCGCCCTGGAGGCGGGGACCGCCACACACCGCCGCCCTCCCCACGGCGGCCCTCCCCACGGCCGCCCTCCCCACGGCCACCCTCCCCACCTCCTCCCTAAAGGCCACCCTCGCAAAAGCCTCGGTTTCCCTGGCCAAGGGGGCCCTTCCCACCGCGGCCCTGGCGGCCTACTCCAAGCCCCCCCCCCCCCCCCCACACACACACACACACGGGGCG